ATCCTCACACAACCTTTTCAGGTAGGTACAGTTATTATCCCATTTTTACAGGTGATGAGACTGAAACACAGAATTTAAATAACATTCACAAGGCTGTATAGCTAATGAGTGGAAGAGACACAGATTGAACCCGAGCAGTCTGCCTCCAGAGCCTGAGTTGTCAACCAATGTTAGAGGATAGCTTTTATCAGTCTACCTACATTTTAAGCTTCTAGCCCCTTGTTTCTCTCATGAAATCACAGATTGATAGCAGTTATTGTCCAATTTAGTGAGAGTGAGTTTCAGAACTTAGGCTGCTGTAGGTCTAGTCCTCAAAACCACTTGGGGGATAATGCAGTTTGCCCCATGAAGAACTTATTTCATCCATTAGAACCTGCTGTATCTGGGCACAGGCCCTCTGAGAAATATCTGATTGCATTTCTCCATTTCATCTCTTATCTTCACCACTGCCAATCTTCTTACCCTTTTCCCCAAGAGTCCCAGGTCCAACAGATCCTACAGAGTCCCTCTAGGTGCATCTCCTTCCTGTACTTTGCCCTAAGGAATGATAATGATAACTTACATTTATTTGGCATTATTGTTTTCCCTCTTTCTGCTGCCTCCTGGAAGGCTTGCTTAAAAGTGCATGCATGCGCTTTATAGTCAGACCTAGGTTTGAATCTCAGATTCACATCTGTGTTTCCTTTTGAAAGGGTCATAGCCTTAGTGAATGTCATTGCCTCATCTCTGAATCAAAGATAATACCGACCCCCTTAATTACTTGTAAGGTATAAATGACAAAAACTATGTTGAACATGCAATAGGAAAAATACCATTGTTTGTTTAACCCTTTCTCTTTAACCTTCTCTCAAAGAATTGTGGTATAAGAAAGATTAATTGTCCATAGCCTTATGTCCCTAGAGCTTCTCTTAACTTCAGTCCTTTAGTTTTTAGCAAACTTTTGGATATGATGATCATTTTAGATGAGTATTAGAGGAAATTGGAAACATATTCAGAGTTTTTTTAATAGAGGATCACAGAGAGAGAAGTAGGAAGATGCGGGAGAACTGTAAGGAGCTTTCACCTTTGGCCATAAGTGAAGAGAAAAGGAAAATGAGAAAGTACGTAAGAGCAGAGTTAGGACTGGCTGCAAAATGAATCATCCTATTTTTGGAAATTAGACATTTAGTTTTGCCATATAAAATTAATATAAATTATTATATCTGAGAACTGCTTCTTATCTATATTATTTATCTGCCAGTAGAAATTATTATAATTTTAGGCCTCTTCTCTGTACCTTCTATTCTAACAGATACCCAATCCTGAGTTGGCCTTTGGAAGCTACACACACACACACACACACACACTCAAGCTATATGTATACATACATGTATATAAAATTAATTAGAGAATTTCCCTTGTTATTCTTTTAATTTTTTTAGCTTCTCCCAATGTTCAGGAATTTCTTGTTCTTTTAATGTAATACCTGTTTTTGAAGGTGAGTCTTTCCTTCCTCTCACCTTACATGAATGATGTGCCACCTCAGGACATTGCTTTTTAGAATTTTTTCATTGACATAAACAGCAGACAGATTCTCCTAGAGTATAGAATAGTTTCCTGTTTCCTTCCTATCCCCACACTGAATTTTAATGTTTGATTATTTACTTTGTTGTTGAAGAATCTTTTATATTGGTTATCGATTTCTCTTAGTTTCTTTTACCATTTAATAAGTTGTATTATTTGGAATCCTACTTTTCAGTGAATCCATTACATAGAGAAAATATCTTCAAATATTTTGTAAAAATTAAGTAGGACTAGGACTTATCCACAGCTGAATGACATAGAAAATAACTGGAATCACAGGGAAAGAAAGACTTTCCTTCAGAATGTAAGAGTTTGCTTTAAAACTGTTTGAAAACATTTTCAAATATCTCAATTTCCAGGGGAAAAAAATAACGTGAGATACAGTCTGACCAAGACTAAGGGATTTCTATCTTCTTGGAGAATAAAGTTGGAATTTTTCATGTTTAACCTACATATCATGAGAACCTGTTTAAATGTTAAGTTTTGCTATGGCAAATGTGCTTTATACTAGAATAAGTATAAATTGATGCCTTCAACAGTATAAAAATGTAGTCTGTTAAAATCTAACATTAAAATTGATAAATCTTACATGTTTAGATTGCTCCAAACTCGAGGACAAAGTTGTTGGGGTTAAGAACATTTATTTTGTCTGCACTTTTCTCTTACTTGGAGCGATTTCACAATTTTTACCTACTTCCCTCCAAATAAAATTCTAACCTCTAAACAAAGACTTTAAATGTTTTTTTCTCCCACATTACTTTATCTTAGCTTTATTTTAACCTTAGTCAATAGTCATTATCCTTAGAGCCTATCTCTGACTCTAATTCAGCTTCTCTCTTCTTTATAAATTTTGTAGTAAAGCTCTTCAAACAATAGAAGAAATGCGAAATTTACCTTAAATGATTTGACTTGGGCTCTCTATTCTGTAAATTTTCTATAAATTTAATTTTTCTATAAATAATGCTTAGGGAAAAATTAAAAATAGATGAAATAAATATTAGTTCATATAAATAAAATGTGTTTCCTGTATATGTTGTATTCCAAGTAGTTGAATTAGTGAATTTATAGATTTTATTTAAGGTGAAAATGCTTACTAGTGTCCGTTCATCTGAAAAACATACATTGTTTTTATCTTATCCCAAGGAGTTGTTCTTACTGCTATTGTAAGCAATAGGAAATAGGCTTTAGCCTAACAATTTTGAAAATCTAAAAGCCTGGATTTAAAAAGTAGTATATTTTTAAAACAAGTTTAATTCTCTCATATATCAGTGTCTATCAGTCTTTTATACCTGATAATATCTTATATAGAAAACAGTTTTACCTTGTGATATTAAAATGTTGAATACCAAAGGCATCAAATGAGGAAAAAAAATGTTTGAGAGTGGTATTGTAACATTACCTGGTAAAGATTTGGGAATCAGAGAGACCTGTGTTTAAATCCCCGCTCAACCACTTACAAGGCTGTGTAGCAAATATTTATTTTTCTGTAAACTTCAGATTTCTCATCTGAAACATAGGGATGATAAGACCTATTTGACAGATTGTTTTGAGATTCAATGCCATGCAGTCTGTTTAGCATGTCTCTTGATATGTAGTAACTGTTTAATAAATGATTATTATTAACCAATCAACAATTATTAAATACCTTCTCTGTGCTAGGTACTATTCTTGCATCTGGGGATAATGCAGAGAATAAAGTCCTTGCTTTCCTGGAGGTTATATGTTAGATAAATACATCAAATGGTAAGGAAATTCGAAGTAAATTTAGGAGATAGAGGGTCACTATATTTTTTGCTTACTTTTTTTTTTGAGACAGAGTTCTTACTCTGTTGCCCTGGCTGGCTTGCAGTGGCATGATCTCGGCTCACTGCAACCTGCACCTCCCGGGTATAAGCGATTCTCCTGCCTCAGCCTCTCTAGTACCTGGTACTACAGACGCACACCACCACATCCAGCTAATTTTTATATTTTTAGTAAAGACAGGGTTTCCATGTTGGCCAGGCTGGCCTCAAATTCCTGACCTCAAGCAATCCACTTGCCTCAGCCTCTCAAAGTGCTGGGATTACAGGCATGATCCTTCCAAGACCTCCTGAAACTGAATACTTCTGTCTCAAATCTTATCTGTCTCGAATTCTGAACCCCTTTTAGAATTAGCAATTTCTATCTTTGACTAAATGAATTTATTTTTTCAGCTTTTATCTTTAAATGTTAAAAACAGAATCAATCAGCAGATACTTATTGAACAATTTCCATGTTCTACGCTAGGCCTTGTGAGAATACCAGTTTAGGGCCGGGTGTGATGGCTCACACCTATAATCTCAGCACTTAGGGAGGCCAAGGTGGGCAGATCATGAGGTCAGGAGTTCGAGACCAGCCTGGTCAATATGGTGAAACCCCGTCTCTACTAAAAATACAAAAAAAATTAGCCAGGCATGGTGGTAGGTGCCTGAATCCCAGCTACTCAGGAGGCTGAGGCAGGAGAATCCCTTGAACCTGGGAGGCAGAGGTTGCAGTGAGCCAAGATCATACCACTGCACTCTAACATGGGTGACAGAGTGAGACTCTGTCTCTTAAAAAAAAAAAAAAAGAAAAGAAAAGAAAAAGAAAATACCAGTTTATTTCCTCTAAAGAATTTCTAACTACTTGGGAATATCTTCAGGATTTCTCATAGCCCAGAATTTTCAAAAAGGATATTGTTTTTTGGATAAAATTTTTAGTTAAGCAACTTTTCTGGCTCTAGTTTTATCATTGACTTTGAGATCATAAGTAGGTCCTTAAAATATATTCTGTCTGAAAGCAGTTAGGATTAAATGATATATTGAAGACCCATTTTGTTTTTCAAATCTTGATATATATTCACTTTCTTTCAGTTTCATGGCATATAAAACCCGAATAATCTTACCTTAGAAGTTCTGAGACATTCTTCATACTATATTTAGGTTATGTTATAGCCTATAGCATTTTATGGTCATATATTTTATTTTTTTGTTATAACTACTACTTTACTTCTTTCATCATTTGGATGATATTTTCAGTTTCTGGTTCATAGAAATATGCTCTTTTATTTACTATTTCTAATACATCACCACTGTCAATGAACTGTGTTAATCACATATTTTGATAAAACAGTAAAGATGGGGAGGCTAATGACCCAATTGTTTTTATATTGGACTCATGAAAATAATTAATTATTAGGGGTAATTGTCTTTTTCAAAACTATACCTTGGAAAGTAGACATTCTGTCTTGGAAATTAGTGTTGTTTCACATATAACATAAATATGCTTGCTCTAAACTTTGGATTTGAAATAGCTCAAAATATTTTTCAGATTAAGTTTGTATAAGGATTTTATTCAGTAGTTTAAGTTGTAGTACATTGAGTGTGCTGTATAAACAAATATGTATTTATGGCATCATCACTGTGATGTTTTATTCCTAGGCAATGACAACTACAAACAAATAGCAATGTGTGTTCTTTACCACATAAGCATGGATGACCGCTTTAAATCAATGTTTGCGTACACTGACTGTATACCACAGGTAAGTGGTTTAAGTGTTTTAAGAAAAACATTTAAGAAATATATATTTTTTTACTCTTTTCTCTTGATTTGTCAAGATTTTCTCTCTTAAAAAGTTCTTAATAATACTACAAATTTATTATAGAAATTTGAGGAAGTACAGAACTGTATAAAAATGAAAATAACTTTCCATTATCCCAAATGTAGAGATAACTATTTAATACTTTGGTACACTTCTCTCTACATACTTAAAAAATAATGTATTGAGATTATATGGTATACATAATATTTACATATTGCTTTATTAATATATCATAATTATACTCATGTCACTGAACATTCTTCAAAAATTATTTTTAATAATTGTATAACATTCTATTACATGGATATACCATAATTTAAATATTGTTAAATTGTATGTTTAGGTTTTTTCCAATTTATCACGTAAAAATACATGTAAGCTAATGAAAATAATGTGAGATATCATATTTGTAAATGCTTCTCCACATCTCTGAATGTTTCTTTAGCTTAAATTCCTAAAAGTAGGATAGCTAAGTCAAAAGATAATGAAAACTTGTGTTTTTGTTTTGGCCAAAATATCTTCTAAGAAAACATAAGTTTTTATTTCCAGCTAACATTTAATTTTTAACAACACTGGATATTACTGTTCTTCTAAATATGTGGTGGTTCATCATTTCTTTTTGTTTGCATTTCCATGAATATTGGTGAGGTTGAACATTTTTTCATGTGTTTATTATCCATATTCTGTTACAGATTATTCATGTCTCTTGCCAGTCTGTCTGTCTGTCCGTCCATCCTTCCTTCCTTCCTTCCTTTTTATTTATTTTTTTTTTTTTTTGAGACAGAATCTTGCTCTGTTACCCAGGCTAAAGTTCAGTGGTACAGTCATAGCTCACTGGAGCCTTAAAATACCTAGGCTCAAGCAATCCTCCTGCCTCAGCCTCATAGGTAGCTAGGACTACAGGTGTGCACCACCATGATTAGTTAATTTTTTAATTTTTTTAATTTTATTTTTTGTACAGACAGGGTTTGGCTTTCTTGCCCAGGACAGTCTCGAACTCCTGGCTTTAAGTAATCCTCCCTGCTTGTCCTCCCAAAGTGCTGGGATTGCAAGTGTGAGCCATCAAAATGGGCCTTCCCAATTTTTTAATTGATTTGTTAATATTTTTATTATTAAATAAGATCAATGTATATAATAACTATTTTAATTTTATGTTACAAATATTGCTTAAGCTTGTCACGTGTCCTTTAATTTTGTTTATGTTTAATATTAATAGATTTAATTGCTTTGCATTCTCTGATGGGAAAATGTTTCATCAAAATTCTTTTATACAACTGCTCTCAAGAAAGTTTTTTGCTGTGATTCAGTGGCTAAATATGTATCATATGTTAGGTCTAAATAGACCTAAATAAATATCTGTCCTAAATGTCTTGAAGGAGTTTATTGATTTTTTTGTAACATAGACTGTATGTTATAAGGGTAGAGATTCTGTACATAGTAACAATTTTACTCTTAGGGAATTAGCATTCATAGGATCACTGTTGTGTCATTAATCTTTATTAAACTACCTTGCACTAATTTGAATTATGATGCTTGTAACACTAGTTGGGCTGATTTTTAATATTACATTATTTTTTATAAAGTAGTTTTCTGAAACAAAAATTGTAGGATGTATGATATACAATAAACATACATTTAAAAACATGTTGGAAGAATATGAATAAATCATCCTTATGAAAGTAATTCCTCTTGACTCTTACTACATAATTCCTTCTTCATCTATAGAGAATTATTAAATGCATGTTACTTGAAAAATAACATGTAGTAAAAAATAGACCATAACTTTTCTTTTTATTGATTCTAATTGACTATTCTTTCATTCATTCCAAATTAGATAAAACAGTGCTAAAAATGAATTTGCTATTCGAGAATTTTAACACTTCACCTACATGTATTTAAAAAATTGATAGTAATTTCTTAGACTTTTATATCAGGGGATAAACTAATTATGCTTGTTTATAGGAAATAGACATCCCTGAAAGAATATATAGCATATCTTATCTAGTAAGGCAGGGTGTCTTACAGAGATAATGCATGTCAGACTATACTCAGTGCAAAGTGTAATCAAACTCTTTGTCAAACCAGTTTTCAATAAAAGAGTAGCCATGTCAAAGGGAGATTACAGGTGATTTACTACAGTCTCACTCCATATGTTCTAAAGGTTTCTGCTTTGCAGTTTCAAAGGGTGTTCCTTTTCCGATTCTATTTTGAGTCAGAACTTCATTGACCGCAGGATATGAACTGGAAAGCAGCCAAAAAATAATAATATTCTTGCCGAGATTGACTGTTTTTATCCAGATTTAGATTTTAAAGAGAATAACATTAAATAAAAGTGAAATATATGCAATCCAAGAAGAAATAGGAAACTTATTTATATAATTTTGAATTTGGAGTTATCCTGTTCTTCTAGAATGTATAATCTCAAATATAAAATGTAAAATTTTATTTTAAATGAAAGAATCAGAAATAAGAGTCTGTCTAGGTTACTTTTTAGATATTGTTATTATTGCAATTTAAAACTTTGTATACAGAAAATTCTCCCATACCTTTTCAGGAACAACATCCATGCATATTTTCTTACCAGACAGTTTTCTAACATCAAACATGTATGCAGTGAAGTTTTCAGAACATGTGTAATCTGTATTTTGTGAACAACATTTTCCAAATTTAGGAGGTCAATGATTTTCGATGTTTTCTTTTTCCCATTTTTTTTTTTTTTTTGAAATTTCAGCCCTTTAGGGAATAAGGTTGTGTTACCAAATTGTGTTGTAAACATCCTGAAGCTTCTATATGAGCTAGTATTTTGAGAAAAACAAATGATACTGTACAATATATTTGTTTCAAATATGGTATCCAGCCTATAACTTTTACTTTATAGTGCCAAATTTTACATATTTAAGGAGAAAAGTTGACGTGGTTTTATTGCCACCCAGTGCCAAGTTAATTGCAAAATAAAAGAATGATGGAAAACAAGTCAGAAATTAAATGAAATGTCCAAGTTTCCTTCAGGAATTAAAAAGGTACTCCTTTAGAGGTATTGGCTACTCAAAGTAATGTTTATAATATCAATAAGGCTTTAAATTCACTCATGAGTTTAATCAGCCACTGATTAACTTACTTACTAAAGTCATAACCCTGGTTGGCATATCTTAGAGTTAATATAATATTCTGTTCTTTTGTAATTATGCATATTAATTTTTGCTTGGTAAAAATCCTCATGTATTGCCAGTAACATGACTTTGAAGGTAGGAAAGCAGTGGCTTAGTAGTGATTCATATTCATTTCAATGATGAAAAAGAAATTGAGTATAATCATCTTCATTAATTACATATATTAAAGGAGCTTTATAAATTTAACTATTTGAAAGTAAGATATTCTTAGTAAAATCTTTGTCACCATTTTGACCCATTTATAGTCCATTTTAAATACTGCCTATCGCATGTGTTTTATAGAATAAACCTATAATGAGATTAGAATTTACTTTTAGAAAATATTTAGCATCTGGAGTGGGTGATTATATATACAACATGTCTCATAATCTCTCCCAATATTATATTGCTTTACTTCCTTTGTACTTTAATGCCTCTAGATATCCAATGTATTCTAATTTTCTTACCCTATTGTATCACTGTTCTGTAAAATTTAGGGGCCAGGTCAAGTCTTTATACATGATCTTAATGGTCTCAGTGGGTAGATTGTTTCAGGTAAGCATACTTGAGGATAACCGGGAGTTAATGGTTGTATTCTAATAATAGTTAAAAGTGCACATTAACAGTTCATTGTTATTTAGACCTCTGAGATGCATGTTTTGTTTAAATGGGTGCAAATGCCATCCAGATGCTTATAAAAGTATTTATTGGTAATAGAATGGCCAATGAAAGTACATGGTTAGGTAGTGATGTCATGGTGTTATTTAATATTTTATCCTAGAACAGCATGCAAGAATCTTCATAGTGATCCACATGTTTTCCACCGCAGTTGTCCTATATGGCCCCCTTTGATCTACATGCTTCTTTTTAGCTGAATGCTGGTAAACATCCTTTCTGACAGCCCCCTTTGCTCTTGCCTGCCATTATCTGCTGAAGTTCAGAAACCAGAGCATCACTTCAAACAGGAGAGTTAGGGAGTAGCCAGTCAGAAAAGATTCCAGAGGCATGCAAAGTTCTGGTATAATCATTCAAAGATGTTTGGGTAGGGGATGGGGGTGGTAGAGTTATATGTGAATACAGAGAGCTGTGGGGGTTGGCCTCTGGTCACTGGTAAATAAGTGAAGTCAGGTGCCAGAGAGTCTAGACACAGTGATTTCAGTCATGGGTCTTTGGTATCTGATACTCAATATGGGACTTGTCTGATTGAACACTATTGCCTCTTCATCGCACAGACTGAAGCCCTTTTAGTGCTTTTCTGATAAATTAGTAAAAGATGACAATGGACATAGTTAAAACAGAACAAATCTAGTTTTAATATTTTCTAGTTGTCAGCAATTACACTTACTTTTGAAGTGCCATCATAGCAATCAAATTAAAGACATACTCTTTCATGTGGAGTTTGAACTAAACTATTGCTTTTTTAAATTTGAAAGCTTTAATTAAAATTAAAATGTTTATTTCTCTTATGAAAAACTAATTCTATATCATTATGCATTCCATTTATATTTAGTCCTAATTTAGCTTGATATGCGGAATGGGAGTTGAGTAAGTTTTCGAGCCATGCATTATTTTCTAAAAATCTAGTTTCTGATTATTTATTTCTAGGTAGAATTTAATATGGAAATTACTTTAAAGAAAATTTACCTTCTGAAATAATAACCTGTAACCCTGTGTTTAAGGCTAATTTTCATACTACAAAGGTTGATTTGAAGTAAATAATTTTTGTTAGCAATAAATACTTAGCTTGAAACATTGCTTCAATGTAACCAATTCTCAGTTTGAAAAAAATCTATAGTGGGTTTTTAATTACAGTTTAGAAAACGTAGCAATTAATTAGAGGATTGTCACCTACATGTTTGGTAATTTGTAATTTAATTTTTATTGGCAATTTTATTTGTAATTTAATTTTAATTGGGCAGATAGGTAGTAAAATCTGTTAAATATATATCCAGTAAATTAAGATTATTTTACTTTTGCCCTTGAATCTTTTTTTATTCTGTGGCATTATTAAGTATTAATGATTCTTACCCAGAGATGCCATCAGTGGTAATATTTGTGGTTAAATATCTGCCCTCAGGGAGAGCACATGATACATGCCAGCCGTTCACCTGCTACAGTGTTTTGTAATTTTCAGCATACAGATCAGTGTATTTGCTTAGAATTATACCTAACAATTCTAGTGGTATTGTGTTTTTTATTTAATTTAACCAAATTTAATTTTGGTTTTCAGCTGTTCATTGCTAACACATAAAAATATGATTGATTTTTGTATATTGACCACATATCATTTTTGAAATGCAGAAGTCATCTTGAACTAAGAGTAATCAAAACAAGATTTAACAGAAAGTGGTCTAAAATAAATAAATATTTATTATTCGCTGTGTTGGATTTATGAAGGCATGTTGTTCTAAAAAGGTATTGCCCTGAGATAAAACATAAGAAGTTTTTATACTATAAATTTTAGGAATAACTTCTATTTGTTGTTAACAGTTTGGGCTGAGAGAAAATTCTCTTTACATACTATACACTAAGTTAATTTGCTGATTTGACAATAATGGAAGACTAGCTTCTCTAAAACATAGCATGAAATTTGTTCATTTGTCCTTTATTATAGCAGCTCTCTCTCATTATGACAAATCTAGATTACTGCTAAATGGCATAGGTAGCCTACCTTTTCCTTCTTACCTTTTTGTCTGCTGTTTTTCACACCCTCCTCCTTTTTCTCTTATCACTCAAAAAGTTCTTTTCTCATTTTATACCCATGCCCAAGTGATTGGATTTAGCCTGCAACTTCAGTTTTCAACCATATATGCCAGTTCCTAAAATTCTACCTCCAGTCCAGACATTTCTTCTAAACTCAGGCCTGCGTTTATGACTTCCTACTGAATATCTGCACTAGACTACCACATGAGCAGCTTAAACTCAACATATCTAAAACCAAAATTACCATCTTTCCTTTAAAGTTTTTTTCTACCCTAGTTTCTCCTTTTTGGTAGATGTTGGCATCACCATGTATGTCATTGCTCAGTGCATAAACTTGGAAGTCATCTTTGACTCCTCCTTTGCTTTAATTGTAACATCTAGTCAGTTACTCCATTCCATTTTGGTTCTCTTTTCTAAATATATATCTAATCAATCCTTTTATCTCTACCTAGTTGAGACACCCATCTTCTCACTTGGACTTTTCCTCTAGCATCCTACATGGTTCCCCATATTTTCTTGGAATTTTATTCTATTTTTTACACTGGCTAAATCTTTTTGAGACATCAATTTTATCCTGACACTTTCCTATTTAGAAGCTTTTAGTAGCTTCCCATCATCCTTAGCATGAAGGCCAAAATCTTTAACATGTACTTCAAGACCCTGCATGATCTGGTTTTTACCTTCTTATCTCTTAAAACTGTTGTTTCCCTTTCACCAACAATGCTTGCTTTCTTTTAGTTCTTCAAAGAGTACTGTTTTTTCCTGCATTGTGACCTTTGCATAAGCTATTTTCTTTGCTTGGAATGCTCTGCTTCCAAACAATGTTTAATTATTTAAGGACAGATGTTTTATCTAATTCTTCTCTTATATTCTCCACTGTACGTAGAAGTTTATACTTAATGCTGAGCATCTAAGAGTTCATTAACTGTTTATTCATCCAGTTGTTGAACAGTGAATGCCTGCCAGTTTTATGTGTTGAAACGTAACTAATAATATTATGTCCAGTGTACAATCTAAGATAATACATTATGATAAAAATAATTGCTTCTATGTTTGGTTTTTTGTTTTGTTTCTTGAGTAAAATGTGCCCTGTGCTTCTTGCTAGTTAATGAAGATGCTGTTTGAATGTTCAGATGAACGAATTGACTTGGAACTCATTTCTTTCTGCATTAATCTTGCTGCTAACAAAAGAAATGTACAGCTTATCTGTGAAGGTCAGTGCCTTTGAGTGTAGGTAACTTTTTTAGCATATGGTATTTGGCATATGATGGAAAATAGATAATAAGGAATTAAGAATTATAATGATTATGTAAGTCCTGTTTTCACATAATTTCTTCATAGCTATAATCCTTAAAGGTCAGATAGAATATTCTTACATCATGAATGCAGACACTTACCTTCTGGTAACATTTTAGAAACCATGTTGAGTTAGCCTTCACTGAAATTTGATTTTTAAAACATTTTCTAGATAAAATGAAACTTTTTCTTTGCAAAGCAGTCTATTACAATATGAGGTAATAAAATACAAATGTATTAGATTATTTCTATAATATCTTGGTAGAACAGCCTGTCATACATTATGATGTTTCAGCATCTGCCCAATAATTTTTGCCTTATTTGAAAAGTAGTATGTGTTTGTTATAAAAAGCAAAAATAAGCAAAAAGGAAAAGATTTGAATCTTTATTCCTACCATCCACAGATAATCATAGGTAAGATTTTAGTATAATAGTTCTGCATATTTTTAAATAAAAATGTGATTGTCTGTATATCATGATATTTTCTTTTAAAATTAGTAATATCATGAAATAATATTCTATGTGTTTAAATGCTTTTATAAAGCATATTTGTTAATAACTGCAAAATTGTCTATTAAAGAATTTTGCCATAGTTTACTTCACTATTATGGATATAGTTCGTTGCCACCTCTTTCCTGTTACGAACAGTGCTATAGCAATTACTCATTCTCTGAATCTTTACACATTTTCATTTTTATGTTGTTAGGATAAATTCCCAGAAGTACAATTTTTCTGAGTCAAAAGTACTTTTGTTTTTAACATTTATAGTAGAAATTGTAGACACAGAAGAACACATACAGTATGATTCTATTTATATGAGGTTCTGTATCAGGCAAAACTTATATATGTTTAAAAATGAGACAGGGAAGAGGAAAAGTGATTATATTTGGGGAACAGGATTGACTGGGAAGGGGCACAAGTAAACTTTCTAGAGGGAATGAAAATATATGTTGATATATGGTATGGGTTGTATCTAAATTAATCAAATTGTAACCCTTAAGAGTTGTGCATTTTACTAGATGTAAATAGTTGTGGCTTTTTTTGAGAACTAAACAAAAAATCATTAAACTTAAGTTAACCTTAATTTTATTGGGGGACTTTTCTGTTTCAGGAAATGGGCTGAAGATGCTCATGAAGAGGGCTCTGAAGTTTAAGGATCCATTGCTGATGAAAATGATTAGAAACATTTCTCAGCATGATGGACCAACTAAAAATCTGTTTATTGTAAGTATCATTTTGGCTTTCCATTAAAATAGACTGGGAGTTGAAATTGCTACATTTGGAAATACAACTCTTACTGGGTTCTCATCAAATATTAATTTATAATCCAAATTGCTCTTATGTTATCAACTTCTTTGTTAGTTTAGCACCTAGAAATCTCAACCTACGTTTCAATGTTGTTTTTGTTTTGTGACCCTTACCCCTAATCCCTCCACCCCACTACAGTCTTCTTGCCTTAAACCAGTTCACCATAGGCTTCTTTAGCAATTTAGCTGAAGATTATTAAAACAAGAAAATCACATTTGATATTGATTTTTTCTTTCAATGGGTTCAATTGTTAGATTCCTGTGGGTTAATTATTAGATTAAATAAAAAATAATTTAAATGTACACTAAAATTCTGTTTTCTTCAGGATTATGTTGGGGACCTTGCAGCCCAGATCTCTAATGATGAAGAAGAGGAGTTTGTGATTGAATGTTTGGGAACTCTTGCAAACTTGACCATTCCAGACTTAGACTGGGAATTGGTTCTTAAAGAATATAAATTGGTTCCATACCTCAAGGATAAACTAAAACCAGGTTTGTGCTAAGTATTTCACTTTTGCATAATCACTAAGTTATTTCTTTCTGTTATGGATAAGGCTGCTAGAGCAGTTTTGTGTGACTATTTTATTATTATGTTAGGAAAAGCCATTTCTTCTCACAGCTCTCTTCTCCCAGAAAAGTAGTCACTGGATCTCCTCTTATATATATATATATACTCTCTTTTTCCTAACTGTGTTTTCTTAGTATTAGTTTCTGTTTCCTATTCTACCTTTCTTGTGGTCTTTTGGTAATTTTTTTTTATTCTGTCTCTTTAAAATTACCAAATACCATCCCTCTACATATACATACACACGCACAAAGGTCTTTGAGGCATTCAGATGAGTCTTTTATTTTCTGTGTCTATGTTGTCATTCAGTTGCACTCTCAAAGGCTTATTTCCACTTTTCTACCGCCCTCCTTACCCCCCACCATCACAAACTGTCATCAGCAAACATGGAAATTTGGAAAAAGGACAAATTTATACCATATCGAGGATTCATATGACTTGATTTAATAGCTTTCGGTATCCTTTCTGTGTATCTACATTTTGATACTCTTAAATGAATTTGGATCAGGACATTTCAGTGAAAACTTTCTATGGCTTGACTTCACTAGGTGCTGCAGAAGATGATCTTGTTTTAGAAGTGGTTATAATGATTGGAACTGTATCCATGGATGACTCTTGTGCTGCATTGCTAGCCAAATCTGGGATAATCCCTGCACTCATTGAATTGCTAAATGGTAAATAACATTAATGCATTTTCATGTTAATGTCTTATTGATTTAACAGCTTATTGATTTAAATATTTAAATATAAAATGCAGAGTTTGAATCTGTTTTTCTCATTACATTGTTTTATAGCAACTTATATAATCAAGAAAAATGAGTTAAATATACTACTAACTGAGATTGGATACAGTAATATCAAAGATCTTTAGCTTTCAAAGTTAAGAATGTTGCTATAAAGCAGTTCAGGACCAATTTTACAGAAATACTCTCCTCACCAACCTTGAACAACTAATATAGTAGTCACAACTTAATCAAGGGGAATACATTCCAAGACCCCCAGCAGATGCCTGAAACTAAAGATACTACCAAATTGTGCATATACTATTTTTTTCTAAACATATCAATGATAAAGTTTAATTTATAAATTAGGCACAGTAAGAGATTAATAACCATAACTAATAATTAAACAGAATAATTATAACAATATGCTTAGTATCACTACTCTTATACTTTGGAGCCATTATTAAATGAAATAAAGGTTACTTGAATACAAGCATGGCAGTACTGTGCTAGTTGACCTGATAATTGAGATGGCTACTAAGGGACTAATAGGCAGGTGGCGTGCATGTACATCCTGGATACACTGGACAAAGGGATGATTCATGTCTTGGATGGGATGGAGTGGAACAGTGGGCAATTACATCACACTATTCAGAATTGTGCATAGTTTAAAACTTATGAATTATTTCTAGAATTTTTCATTTAATATTTTTGACCATGGTTGACTACAGTTAACTAAAACCATGGAAAGAAAAACCACAGATAAGGGAAGACCACTGTATCATATCACTTCTTTTTGTTTGTTTGTTTTGTTTTGTTTTTTTGAGACGTAGTTTTGCTCTTGTTGCCCAGGCTGGAATGCAATGGTGTGATCTCGGCTCAGCGCAACCTCCGCCTCCCAGGTTCAAGCCATTCTCCTGCCTCAGCCTCCTGAGTAGCTGGGATTACAGGCATGCGCCACCACACCCAGCTGATTTTGTATTTTTAGTAGAGATGGGGTTTCTCCATGTTGGTTAGGCTGGTCTCGAACTCCCGACCTCAGGTGATCCGCCCACCTCGGCCTCCCAAAGTGTTGGGATTACAGGCTTGAGCAACCACGCCCAGCTATATCACTTCTTTCTGTTGAGATTTGTGTTGGTTTGAATTGAATCTCTTCTCCTGTGGAAATCTTATTTTTTAAAACTTGATTTCTAAGTCGGAAGGTTCATTTGGAAGCTGATTCTAAATGTAATATTCCCTTCTAGATCCAGAATTTATTGTCCTCTGAGTTCTCTGAACTTTCTTAGTTGATGAAAATGTTTTATATGTGTGGTATCCGACACATGTAGCTCTAGAACACTTGAAATGTGGCTGTCACAACTGATAACTTGAATTTTTGAATTAATTTAATTAGCTGCAGTGGTTTATGGCTATAATATTTGACAGTGTAGGCCTAGAGTTTTCCCCTTGCATTTATATTGCTCTTAAGGGGCAGGGCTCATTCTTCTCCATATTGCATACAAAATTTATCTGAATCTTATTAGGGCCAAGTTCTCTAGGATCTTACACATCGTAGCTAGCCAATAGTATAGAAGTTAAAAATGCTAATATGAGATCCCTGAAGAAGATACTGTCATCTCAGTTCATCTTGTACTAGGCATAATATATATGCATTTTGTATTAATTTTAATAGACTTTTAGAATATATAATAACATACATAAATTGTAAGTATAGCTCAATGTATTTTCAGTGTAAGCACACCCATGTTATTATCACTAATGTAAGAAAATAAAACATTACCAGTACCTTAGAAATGCCTCTTCTCCCTCCTCTCAGTCATTACCGCCTCCTTCAAAGTGGTTAGTTTGAAACAAAAGATGTTTATTTTGTCACGACTAGATTAGTTTTGCTTGGTTTTGAACTTTATTATATAAGTGGAATCTAGTTTGTTTTGTTCTGCCTTATATTTGTGACATTCATCTATGTTATATACAAAAGTTTGTTCATTTTTATTGTATATAATATTTTATTATATAAATATACCACCATTTATCCTTTCTACTATTGATGGATAGTAGAGTTAGGTTTTTGTGAGGAGGAGGACTATTACAAATAATGCTCCTATGAACATTTTGAAACCTTTCATTTGGTGCACATATGTACTCATTTCCATTAGGTTCACTCGTAGGAGTAGGATGGCTGGGTCACAGAGTTTGTATATATGTTTGGCCTTAGTAAACTGTGTGAATCTGTGGTTGTGCCAGTTTTCATTCTTACCAGTAATGTAAGAGAACTGCAATTTTTCTACATCACCTCTAATACTGGGCATTGTCAGTCCTTTCAATTGTAGCCATCATACTGGTATTTCATTGTGATTTTAATTTGTATTTCCCTAATGACTAATGAAGTTGAGCACCTGTTTATGTTTATTGATTATTTAGGGATAGCCAATAAAAAGATGTGCCTATTTAAGCCTCTTGCACATTTTTCTCTTTTGAGTTTTTTTAAATTTAATTTGTAAGTTCCTTAATATAATTCATTTTAATAAGTCATCTAGAGATAATGCCCCAATATTTGAAGTATGCTTCGCAAAACTGTAACATATTTGTGTTTACTTTGATACAGTCTTCTCACAGTCAGATCACAAATAATTAAAAGAAAGACTAAGAGTTGGGAGGTGAAAGTAAAGACATGTAGTTGACAGAGTGAGAATGAAGATTTTGTGGAGAGCTGAAGAAAGTTGAAGCAAAATGACCTGCATCCTGGAATTACTGTCCCATAGTGATTATAATCAAGAGAGCTGAGATATTCGTAAAGTGATCTGACACAGCCAGCTCAGAGTGTTTTACTATGGTTTTGGTGTTCTCTGACATGAGATTATCACAGGCAGAGGCTTTATAATATTCTTTTTAAGAAATATATGGATTTTCAAGACTAAAGCCTTTGGTATTAAGTGAGGGAATACTGTATACCAAGATATTAATTAATAGTGAGAAATTTAGCCCAATTCGTTTGGGAGAGTAGTACTTTGGCAAGTTAGTGAGGGAGATGATTTGGGACAAATTGAACTTTAAGGGACCCACAATTTATTCTACACAACTGGTTTGATACTCTGTTGACCTGAAACTCTGTTTCTAAAATGTCATTGAACTTTTACCAAGAGTTGATAGCAAACTATACTATTAAATCTAATTTCATAATCATTACTTAAGGTTAGATTTCTATAATCAATTATGCTTTTTCTATTACATATTAATCCGTGGACATCAGCTGTTATGTAAATTACTCTTTGTATGATATTAAAGATGTATTAATTAGCCTTTATGATTATGTAACTTTTTTACTATTATAATTAATTAGATGGATACTAAATTACTTATTATTTCATGCAATCTGTAAAGTTTAACTTTCTGAACATTATTCAACAAAAGGAAATACCTTTTTATAGTAGTTCAATTTCTACCAAAAACTTAGAGTTTAGAAGGCATGATAACTTTTAAGAATCATTTTTCTCCTGCGAAGTCAACATTATAAAGACAAAATAGAACCAGGTTTATTTTACAAATTAGAATTGTTTAAAGAATTCTTAGGATGGATGAAACAAGTGGTGATAACTGTCACCATTTTACATTAGGAACATAGAAGTTACTTTAATCCATTTCTGCTTATTTACCTCCTTATCACTTTTAGTTTATCTCATTCTATATTATTCCCCTCAATTATTTTAAATTTGGTATATAAACATAGTACTCTTTATTTGAATTTTTTGTTTATTTACAGCTCAACAGGAAGATGATGAATTTGTATGTCAGATAATTTATGTCTTCTACCAGATGGTTTTCCACCAAGCCACAAGAGACGTCATAATCAAGGAAACACGTATCCTTTCAGTGTTTACAGTAGATAAGAATATTTCACATATTCAGAAAAGATGCATCTTTAGGTTTTTGGGATTTTTTGTTTGTTTTTTTGGCAAATGTTGAAATAATGCTGAAAACACTAAGTTTTGAGATAAATTTACAAGATAACCTATTTTCCATGGAAGCTGTTGACCCCAAATCAGTATATAGGTAGAATATAATGAGAACAATTTTATTAACTTGTCAGGTTGTGATTCCTAAGAAACTTAGCAAACAAATCAGAACTTCCTTCTCTATTAACATACCTTAAGTATCAGAGGTTTCTAGGACTATCCTTGGTCCTTTTCTAATCTTACCTTATTTACTCTACGTGGGAAACCACATCTGTTCCCATGAGTTCAGCTACCAACTATATGCTAACTATTTTTTTGATAACCCCTATCTTGAGCCCCAGGCATATGTTGCTAACTGCCACTTGGATATCTTTTTTTTTTTTTTTTTTTTTTATACTTTAAGTTCTAGGGTACATGTGCATAACGTGCAGGTTTGTTACATATGTATACTTGTGCCATGTTGCTGTGCTGCACCCATCAACTCGTCAGCACCCATCAACTCGTCATTTACATCAGGTATAACTCCCAGTGCAATCCCTCCCCGCTCCCCCCTCCCCATGATAGGCCCCGGTGTGTGATGTTCCCCTTCCGGAGTCCAAGTGATCTCATTGTTCAGTTCCCACCTATGAGTGAGAACATGTGGTGTTTGGTTTTCTGTTCTTGTGATAGTTTGCTAAGAATGATGGTTTCCAGCTGCATCCATGTCCCTACAAAGGACACAAACTCATCCTTTTTTATGGCTGCATAGTATTCCATGGTGTATATGTGCCACATTTTCTTAATCCAGTCTGTCACTGATGGACATTTGGGTTGATTCCAAGTCTTTGCTATTGTGAATAGTGCCGCAATAAACATACGTGTGCATGTGTCTTTATAGCAGCATGATTTATAATCCTTTGGGTATATACCCAGTAATGGGATGGCTGGGTCATATGCTACATCTAGTTCTAGATCTTTGAGGAATCACCATACTGTTTTCCATAATGGTTAAACTAGTTTACAATCCCATCAACAGTGTAAAAGTGTTCCTATTTCTCCACATCCTCTCCAGCACCTGTTGTTTCCTGACTTTTTAAAAAAACAAACAACCCCATCAAAAAGTGGGCAAAGGATATGAACAGACATTTCTCAAAAGAAGACATTCATACAGCCAACAGACACATGAAAAAATGCTCATCATCGCTGGCCATCAGAGAAATGCAAATCAAAACCACAATGAGACACCATCTCATACCAGTTAGAATGGCGATCATTAAAAAGCCACTTGGATATCTTCCACCTACCTAAAGGGGCATAGCATGCTGTAGTCTAGAGATCTTTGTAAATCAAATAGCCCTAATTTTAATTACCTTTTGCTACTTACAAAGCTGCAGGACCTTGGAAAGTTACTTAACCTCCCTAGGATACAATCATATACCTTAAAAATGCCTGTAACATTGTTAAAATAAAAAGACCTCGTACCTTGTAGAATTGTTGTAAGTACTAATGGATTTAAATTGTCTATAATAGTTCCCAATACACAGAGGTACTTAGTACCTGGTAGTTTATCATTCTTGCATCCAAAGGGTACTCAATATTGGTAACATCATCTCCTGATAAGCAGAACAGTCCTGCCATCTGTATTCATTGTGAATAACAACATTGTCATCTACACAGCCTCTTAAGCTGAAAATTTTGGTATCTGCTAACTCTTTTACTATATATAATTAAACATTCGTTTATTCACACATTTCTCAAGCTTTGACCACCTAAACAGATACTGGCTTATGTGTTAGATATATAAGAAAGTCCTTGACCTCAGGGAGTTTATAGTTTAGTTGGAGAGATAGACAGGTATAATATACAAGAAATATAAAATTATAATCCAGTGTGATTGGCCAGGCACAGTGGCTCATGCCCGTAATCCCAGCACTTTGGGAACCTGAGGTGGGAGCATCACTTGAGCTCAGGTGTTTGCGACCAGCCTGGGCAACATAGTGAGACCTCATCTCTACTAAAAATAAAAAGATAAAAAATGAGCTGGACACGGTGATGCATGCCTGTAGTCCCAGCTACTCGGGACACTGAAGCAGGAATTATCACTTGAGCCTAAGAGGTCAAGGCGGCAGTAAGCTATGATTTTGCCACTGCATTCCAGCCTGGGTGGCAGAGGGAGACCCTATCTCAAAAAAAAATTTAAAATTCTGGAACCATATAGAGTTTCTAAGAGTCAAGTCTGATAAATAGCAAGTCGAATTTGAGAAATGCTAATATGGGCTATCAAAATACAAATACTGTTCTGCCTGAACAGCTAAGAGTACAGAAAGTAATAATTTTTTTTTTTGGATTGAGTCTCGCTCTGTCGCCCAGGTTAGAGTGCAGTGGCACAATCTCGGCTCACTGCCAGCTCCACCTCCAGGGTTCACGCCGTTCTCCTGCCTCAGCCTCCTGAGTAGCTGGGACTACAGGGGCCCGCCACCACACCCGGCTAATTTTTTGTATTTTTAGTAGAGATGGGATTTCACTGTGTTAGCCAGGATGGTCTTGATCTCTTGACCTTGTGATCCGCCCACCTTGGCCTCCCAAAGTGCTAGGATTACAGGCATGAATAAATATTTTTAATGTGGTTTATAAACTGACTTTCCCAGAAAGACAAATTCCAAATACACTTTTGAACAGTGTTAAAATAATTGGAGTAAATTCATTTTTCCCCAGCTGTATTCCATGGAACATAATCCTTAAGTATTAACAGCTGCTTAGTGAAAAAAAAAAAGGTTCTCTGATAGTAAATAAGTTTGGGAAACACTGAGTTAAAGTTAACAAGTTTTCTTGCTACAAGGTCTTCTTGGAACCTTTAATATGCTTTTTTGGGTTGAGAGTCTCTGAAGGTGTATTTTATGTGTAGAATTACTTAAAATTTACATAACTATAGAAGCCACTACAGAAAATAGTAAAATGAAAATGTAGTTTTTCTAGGTAACTTCTTTGAGAGACAACCCTATTTACAGGTCATTTCATAGGGTTTTTTGTGAGGACTAAAAAGTAAAGTATTTAAAGTACCTACCAAGTACCTGCACACAGTGAATAAGTGTTACTGCCTCTGTTTTGGGAAGTCTGTTTAAAATGTACACTTAGTACCTTATTATCAAAGCCCACAGAATTAAGAGAATTCCTATTTGACCTTTCTTTTCAGTGTAACTTTCTTTGAATTTTACCCCAAGTTTAATTTCTGTTTTATGTCACTGAATCTGGAGTCAATACTTTTTGAATAGTTGTCCTGAAGATTATAACATGTTGATAATGGTGCAACAGGGAGATAAAGATCTGCTGAGTTAAAATTTTTATAAAAACTTTGTGTCTTAAAATTGGATAAAGATCACTGAAGTGCTTTTCCAAAATACAAAACACAGAAATGTTTTCGAAGCCAGGCATGGTGGGGCATGCTTATAGTCTCAGCTACCTGGGAGGCTGAGGTAGGAAGATCACTTGAGCCCAGGAATTTGAGGCTCCAGTGAGCTATGATCACGCCATTGCATTCCAGCCTTGATGACAGAACGAGGCTCTGTCTCTTTAAAAAAAAAAAGCTGAAAAATAATAAATTTTAAAAATGTTTTGGAGTTCAAAAAACACAATTTTTGTTGATGTCAATGGCATTTAAATCTGTCATGTTACAATGTATTACATATTAAAAATTATTGAAATATTTTATTTCACCATAACCTTTAGCATTTTATTGTGATTCTCCCTATGAATCCAATATAAGTATTTAAAATAAAAAAAAATCTATTAGGCAAGATTTTATTCCTTTTCTTTTTGTTAGAAAGTTCGATCAATATTAGTTGATATAATTTGAACAGAATACTTGACATATGAGATAGCTAGTGTAGACTTCTTTTAGATAAATATATGATTTATATTCAGATGTTTAAAATATTAAACTGACTCACACCATGACTCAATCACATAAGAATTGAGAACTAATGCTGATTATATTTTTATATAATCTCAACAATTGCAGTATGGGAAATAAAATACAACTGGCCTTCCTTATTTGGGGGTTCCTCATCTGCTGATTTAACCATCCATAGATTAAATTTATTCAAAAAGCATTCTAATAGAGAATAGAAATGCAACAATAAAAAACAGAAAATATGGTATAACAACTATTTACTTAGCATTTATATTTTATTCAGTATTGTAAGTAATCTAGGAAGGATTTAAAGTATACAGGAGGATGAGCATAGGCCATATGCAGATACTACACCAGTTTATATAAGAGACTTAAGCATCTGTGGATTTTGGCATTATTGGAGGATCCTAGAACCAGTCTCCCATGGCTGCTGAGGGAAGATTATAATCCACATTTGTCTAGATTATTTTAGATTCCCCTTGAGAATTTTTAAGATTTTTCTAATAATTTTTATTCTCACAAAACCATGTGAAGTATGTAGATGATTATTCATTAAATAAAAATTTATTGAGCACTTGTTATGATCTAAAACCTGGGGTACTATAGTGAATATGATAGGCAAAGTCTCTGCCCTAGTGGAACTTATATTCCAGTGGAGAAAAGAGGCAGTCAATACATATTTTTTACATATTTTCTTAAAAATGAGTTTCAGAATGCACAAATACATTATTCTATATATTTTTTCTACATTTTTAAATATACCTTTTGTATCCCTAAAAAAAAAAAATAGTAAGAACCACTATGCAATATAGCCATGTAGCAAAACTGTACTTGGGTCCCCTAAATCTATTTTTAAAAAACAACAATTTAAGTAGTAAGTAACACTAATGAGTTAAGTCATCACTTTGCCACTAGCTAGTCATAATACTGTGTGATAATTTTAGGAGTGTAATCAGTGATACAAAGAATGGTATGTACTTGTGTACATGTGCTAGAGTTTCTTAGTAGAAATTTGTGTACTCTTTTCAAATTGTTTTAACTAAGACCAATTGATAGTATTGATGCGAGATCACAACGTTTTTCTTCACTTCCTCTTTTAGATTCATCAAGGTTTCTTTCTTAATTTGAGTTTGCTTCATTCTGTCCCTTCTCTCTTACTTATTTGTAATTATACATTTCATTTTTTTTTCTTTTGGGATGCAAACCTAAATTTCATCATGCATTGTCACCAAGTTCTGAAGGAGTATATCTTTCTATTTGACAGTCTATTAGCTATCCAATATAATAATTTCACTTTTGTGTGTGTGTGTGTGTGTGTGTATATATATATATACTGTTTTTTTAAATATATTTATCTCTTTTGAAATATTAGGTTGCAGCTTTCTTTTATGTGAAAACGTTTTATCATGCCTTCTCTTTTTGACCATGAATCTCTCTTATTAGTTTTGTATGAAATTAGTTTTCCTGAATTTTTAGGAGAGCAGGATAGATCAAGAAGCATTTATAGCTACACAACTATAGAGCTTCCTCTTTATTTATGTTCATGATCCTCATGTATTCAGAAATGTGGTCTTGTACTTTCTGAGATTTACTGACTGTTTTCCTTACCCATTTTTATCTAGATTTTTCTCTTTTTTATGTCCCTACTATCCCTGTTTTTTTAAACAAATGAAATATTAAGTGTTTCTAGTCATCTTGTATTAATGATTTTATTTTAAAATTTGAGTTAAATTTCCATTTAGCATTTAGATTTAGAAAAATATGAGATTTTTCTAGTATTATTGACTAGCCACAATATCAAATGTAGTTTGTATCTTTAACCATTTTTATTCAGAGGCTCCAGCATATCTCATAGACCTGATGCATGATAAGAATAATGAAATCCGAAAGGTCTGTGATAATACATTAGATATTATAGCGGTAAGTAATTATTTTTTCTACACAAAGTATAATTGACTTCATCTTGGGGGAAAAAGACATTGTAAACCTATTTTAAACAATGCATTCAGTGTAAACCCAAATTTGTATTTTGGTAAGATTCAGGATATACAATGATAACAAATTTACTTTTTAAACATTAGTAAGTTCTTTAGCTTTCAACTTTTAAGTCATCGGCCCTTTACTTAAAGAGATTTTATAGGTATTCAGAGTTCTGATCTACATATCATCACAGAGTTACTTGTTTTTCAGATAAATTATTGTATAGGAGTGGGGAGTTGGCACACAGTTTCTGTCAAAACATAATCAATTTTGTGGTTTGGCCCTTAAAGTTTTTTAACAAATCAAATCTTGTATCAGCTATTTTTTCCAGTTAATTGATAGTTTTATTTTATACATACAGTTGCCCTTTAAGTTGCTTTGAAATGATGGGAAATACAAAAATCTTAATATTATTCATAGTTTTGGAGGTTTTTAAAGGATACATGACTAGAGGGATATGATCAAAGAGATGATCTAAGTGTTGAGTTAGAAACTTGTGAACCATGCAGACTTATTGCCAGCAATTTTGCTGCCTACCACAGTCTTCTGCCTGAATTTGGGCCTTGTACCAGGGATGTACAAGATACTCGATTATTTTAAGTATGTTTTTATATATGGTATATACTGCTACGCACAACCAGGTTGATTTCTTTTTCAAACTGGATTTGGCTCACTTTTAGAAAGCTTATTGAATGTAGACTACTCAGTAGTTTTAAAAGTTTAACTTTAGCTTTTTAAACAGATCAGAATAACATTTTTTTAAAATCAATTAATAACTTAGTTGGAAATCCACTAAGTTGGGTTTTCTGCTAGTGATATAATCATGAAACTAGACAATCACCATTAGGAACTTTATTGTCACTGTCTCACATTTTATTTCAGAAATTCATCTTAATTTGTTATCTGTTTTTTGGATTTCACTAAGTATCTCATTACTGGTGTAGAACTAAATGGATACGTTGACATTTTAGCTTTGATTTCTAAGTCAGAATAGAGAAACTGTACATATTAAATCCTCATTCTATGAAAATATTTCACACATAGGTCACTGATCACAGGGCTTTTGAATATAGAATATTTAATATGCCTAGAGAATAATTTCATGGCTCATGTACTATTTTCTAATAGATCACAGTGCCATTGTTGTATATAAAGTATATAGTATAAGAACAAGAAACTTCTTATGGTTCCATATGTGATTATCTTACTTGAAGCAACAAAGAAAGGAGACAGTTGTCATTCTGTTATGCATTATATTTAGCATACTTTTTATCTACCTTCTGTCTAGGAAAGGTAGCTAGAAGATAACAATGTTTAGATTAACATATTAAGTGTATGTGGTTTAGAATGTAAGTTGATAGTTCCAATACAAATGTATTTATTATAAAATAATTTTATTTCAAATAATTTCTAAACTCTGGGCTTAAGTCTCTCATCTTAAACTGGAGTCACCGTTGACCCTGTGTCTCTTTTCTCTTCTAGATACTGTCTTAGCTCTCCTTCTTTCTAGAACCAAAGTTTCCAAACAGTTGTCTATATTTTACTTCCTTCATTTCTGCACTTTAAACTTATGAAAATTCTGGCTTCTGCCTCCATCACTGCATTGAAATGGTGCTCACTAAAAAGACCATCAAGGGAGAATGTGAAGTTTTTGTTCAGTTAGCATTAGTAATGGCTAAATAACAAACTTTTTAAATTATTAGAAACTTGCTTAGGAGAGGAGTGGATGATCCCTTGAAATTCTTTTTACCTCTAGATAATGATGTCCTACTATTCTCAGACTGACTGTATTCTATAATAATAATAAAAAATCCAAAAAATATATAGACAGAATGGGAATATTCTTAGCTTAAAACAATTTACCTTTAAAAAAAACAAACTTATTTGCCACTGAAGACAGACAGTGCAGAATAATACTAAGAAAAATTAGATGCCTTGCAAGCCTTGGGGAAATATACTTTCTGGAGTAAAGTACTTGTCCCCCAAATTATGCAAATATTATACTAGTGAAGATTTGTTTAATGTAGTTGGGCCCAAGCCCTCAACTGATTAATTGAAACATGTGCGGTGGCAGTACCCTGGGTACCAAGGAGGATTACATCACTTGTTTACATGATACAGTCTCTGTGGCCTCATCAACACATTGTCACCTGTGTGACTATGTTACTTGTAGTTTGGGGAGGCAGGGAATGGTGTAGGTGCAAAGAGGAGCAGGGAGGCAAGAAGAGAGAAGCCTATAGCTAGTTGGTCTCCCAAGGGAATTGTAAGTCAGTTGACCATTGCCTCTTTCTCTTGCATGAAGGCACTCATGGGAATCATGAAGGGAAGAACATCACCTACCCCTCCAATCTAGAGAACTTCTAAAAACTCATGTAGATTTGTATCCTTCAGTACATCCTCAGCTTTGTATGAAGTATTTGAGAACCTCAAAAATGCTCCCCTGATTTGTCTGGTTTGTCAGACACTTAATACATGTTTATTAAGCACCTATTATGTGCCAAACACTAAGAAAGACTCTGAGAATACAAAACTCAACAGTACAAAGTTCCTTGAATATGAAAATACCATCTAGACTCCAGAGAACACCTGAGATACTATTCTGTAAACACGTGAACTGGCGTTCCAGAAGCAATACTACTATATGGCCTATCACTAGATTATTTGTAGTAACGGCACACTGTATCTACAGGGTGCTTACAGGAAAAGGGATATAACCAGGTTCTCTAATGAAAGACTGATTTCTGTCATCTTTCTAGCCAGTGTATGATTTAGTAGTGACATAGGTTTGTGTCACTGAGATTTTGAAGGGTACCTCTTCCTTTTTTAATAACTCTTAATTATGATCATGGGCAGATTGTTTTTATTTTAATAATCTGGAATTAGTAGCAAACTCTAATATTCTAAACTTGGAAAAGTAGGTGCTACCTTCATTCCAGACAGACAAAATTGTACTTAATAAGGCTGGTTTATTAAAATGAAAGAAACCAATGTAGCTTTAAATGTAGCTTCTACATCACCCGTTGTTATCTCTGCAGAGATAACACAGGCAGAGTTATCTTTGTGTCAGAGAGAAAAGGTGGACTTATTCATAATCTTGCCAGTAAAGGAGAGCACTTTAAAAAGTATCTTACAACATCTTGAAAAGAAGTTACAGAGAAGGTTTTATAGGGTTAGGGTTAGCGTTAGAACTCAAACTTTCAGGAGCAGGGCATAGGTAAATGCTGGTCACTTTTAATTGGCATGCAAGTTGGATGTGGGAGTAGTGATTTTCAAGTGAATTGTTGGCAGAAATTTCTAAAATCTTCTCTTTCCAGACCAAGCAGAACTGGTTCTTCCTTGTTTTGCAGTCTTGGCAAATTTTTTTATTTCCCAGTGTGAGCTTGATTTTTGTTTCCCATATAGTCTAATTGGGTTTAATGAGATAAATTTATTTAACCCTCTTTTATAGTTCATTTTTATATTTCATAAACCAAAAGGCAGACATTTAGGATATTTTTCCAACCTGTTAGAATTTAAGCATATACACACATAATTTTATACATAAATGTGTGTGTTTCCTACCTGTTATGCATGTTACTTTGTTTTTTTTTTTTTTAATTGGCAACAGTTGGACTTAAAAGAACCCACACATAGTATGAAAACAAAATTATGATTTCTTACTTAAATACATTTTATTTAGTTATTTCTTTTACTTTGTGGTCAAGACTAAAGGTCAACACTTGGGGCAGTCTTATTGAGAAATAGATAGTATATGCATAAAAATCAACAACTTTATTATGTATGTTAAATTATGTGTATGTCTATCGATATTATTAGAATAAATATTTTTTAAGATATAACAAGTGTCTCGTTAGCAGCTACCACCGTAACTTTAATGAGCAACTAAATTACTCCAGACTTGCTTTAATTTTGTATGAAAAATTACATTAAATAAACCATATTACAGTCTCAATTAGGGGGCTGCCACATTAAAGGAAAAAGGAAAATCTGTTTTCCATCAGTTATGTTAGAACACAAAGCAGATCTGTGTTGCTCTGTGTTATCCTATAGTGTGTTAATCAGATACAAGGTGTGACGGAAGCCAGTGACAAAGAGTTTTCATGATAGTGAACAGGCTCTGATAATAGGTTAGTTAAGGCTTCATAATGTTTCGGTGGTTAACTAATAAACAAAATGATGTAGGACTTCAAAAAGGATGGTACATTCCATGTAAAATCAAACCATCAGTCTTTCACAACACTTTAGAATTTATGGTACTAAGTGCTTAAAATCATAATGTCAGGAGCTGAGAAGAGAAAGAAATAAAAAACAAAGCATGTTTTTCTTTAAATACAAGTCTCAAAGCCAGGACACCAGGGTATACTCCTTGTGAAAAGAAGTATTTCAAAAATGAAGAAAAAACTGTAATCCTAGAGTATTTCCACAAAGGCTTTGGATAGGTTTTGATGACATACCTTAGCTGTGATTCAGCTGTGACATAATTATTTTCTGATATGGGGCTGGAGGTAGAGGGGAGTGAATAATAAGAAAGGACTAGAGATTGGTGGATGGGGTTGAGAGAATTGATTTTAATGATGTATGTTGATTAAAATTTTTTGACACTGGGTTTTCATTTAAGAATTGCTTGTTAACTTTTTAAAAGAAACTCCTATCCTACCAGTATTTTTCAGTTATTTGGGATAGTTATTTCAACAGCTTTGTGAATTCATGGTATAAATCATCGGGTTTTATTTATAGAATGTTAGAGCTTAAGTCTGTCTTAGATTTGTTTCATTTTCCAAAGAAGAATCTGAGACTAAGAGAGATTAGAATACCTTTAAAAGGTTGCGTAATTCAGTTAATAGCAGAGCTAGAACCAGAGCCCAGGTCTCCTGACTCCTAATCCAGTGTTCTTTATATTATACAATACCATATTATTAATAGCTCTAAAGGCAGATGCT